TGAGACGTCTCTGGGGTACCTTGTAGTTGGTAGGGTCGTAAGTCAGAGCATTTCCAAGGTGTTCAAATGCCTTCTGGTAAATGCCGAGCTTGGGGAAGAAACAGGAGAGAATTCACATCAGACGGGAGCTGGAGTCAAGGAGTGTGGCCAACCACATCCTCAGCTGAAGTCCCCAGACTTTAATTCTTTCCCTTGATAAACAGCTGCCAGATAAGAAAAGCAAAGTCCCCACCATACGTGTGGTTTCCTCCAACCATGCTGATTGTCTCCTGACAGTTTATCTTTGCAGCAACTCTCTGGCTGTCACATTAGTGCTGATCCACATTAATGCCATCTGGCAGGAAATGGGTCAGTTAGACTCATTGTCCTCAGGCCAACCTCTCTGACCTAAGGCCAGGAGGACCCAGGAACACCAGGTTAAGTACCTGCTCCCTTTCAAGGAAAATTAAAGCCGCCACAAAGGCCACCCCCAAGTCAAAGAGGAAAGCAGGCTTGTGAGCAGGGAACTTGGGGAGTCAGTCAGTGGAGGGCTGGGAGCAGACCAGGCCTCTCCCTGAGCCTCAGCCACTCATGCTGATGAAGAGACGTGATGGAGCTCGCTTCCAAGGCCCATTCACACTCGGGCATTCTGTTTATTCTAGTGTCCACGCACCCTCCTTGTCTCTTTCCCGAGGGACTCTGGTTTGAAGAAGTGACAAACACGACTGTTGCCCCCAAACCCTACCTAGTGCTACCTTTTATTACAGTTTTTCCTCAATAAGAAAAGAATGAACTGCATCCTGCTCTCGCCAGTTCCCTGCCCCAAGACCAGAGCATACTCATACGTGCCTTCCCCTCCGCTGGGTATGAATTCTAATTGTGTTGGACCCAAACAGTATTGCTTCTGACTTGAATGCAGAAAATCTAGCTCTTTCAGCAGACAAAAAATACCAAGCAGAAGGAGCAAGACTCACTGCTCCCTGGGACACATTCCACTGGCACCAAGTGCCAAACGGAGCGGACCCCCATGCAAACTCAGAGCACTGCTGACACCGAGGTGTTGAGTATGAAGCCCCCTCACCTGTAAGTAGAGTAATCCTAGACTTGTAAGAAGTTCCGTGTTTTCTGGTGAGAACCTGCAGACACAGAACAGTTATGCTCAGAGGGAAACAAGATGTGTGAGATGCTGGGATACTCACATAGTCATCTGCCCTCTCAAAGCACCTGAGACACAGGCCTCTTCCAGTCTCCCACCTTCCATGCCACCCTAATTGTTCACATCCTGGTGAGTGTTCAGATTTAAAGTAAAGTTTACTTTACTAGAACTGTTCTGGTGTCAGTTCTTTGGCCATAACTAAACTGATCTGTACCAATTCAAAGTCCTGATGACAAGTTAGACTTCCTTTCAAGACCTTTTCTTCTTGGGGTCAAATGGTCCTGAGGGAAGAAAGAGCATATGGAATGTCTGCGTGACTCTCCTGATCATGGGCTATCGAACAACAGTGCAAGGCGTTACAAGGCAAGTCTAGGACACACAAGTTTTAGCCAGATGCCTCTTGTGTTTCTTTTTTCCTGTGCTCCCAGGGCTGCGATGTCTATGTAATTTAGGATCCCCAGAGGCCCCTCCCTAATGCCCTGCTCTCCAAATTAAACAAAAAGTCAAACTAAATAGCCAAACTAAACAAAAGAAGAGATGCAGGAACCAGCTCCAAGGAAGAATTAGCTGTGGCCTTTGGGAATAAGCACTGGCTGAAGCAAAAAAGTATCTGCCTTCCCAGTTCCTGCCTGGCATTGGCCTTTGTCACAAAACCACAACTCCGGGCTGAGACATCTGACTACACGATCACCAGGCAGGCTCAGCAGTGACAAAGCCGAGGGGTGAGGGACAATGTCTAAGTCGGCCTTTTGCAAATTAGGAACTACTTGAACAGAGGAAGTTTGTTTGGTCCAGCACAGGCCACCCCTGGCTGGGGTTTGGGGCCTCAAGTTCTGTTCTTCCCAGGGGTACCAGTGCTTTATACCTCACTTCTTAAAAGCGGAGAGAGTTGTGAATAGCCAGCTTACACATTGTCGTCGCAAGCACCCCACTCCAGTGGGGCCCTGGTGGTACAACGGGCTCAGCAGTGGGCTGCTAGCTGAGAAGTCCTGCATTCAGACCTACCAGCTGCTACCAGACAGAGAGGTGAGGCTGAGTGCTCCCATGAAGAGTTCTAGTGTCTTAACACCGATGGGGCAGAGCTACGCTGTCCTGTAGGGTCACTAAGAGTCAACGGCCTCAAGGGCAGCAGGTTTTGGTTTTGGTCCCACTCCAAAGAAACCAAGTGAGACCCTATGTAGAAATGGTAAACAACATGTGTCCCTAGAGAAGGCCACCACTGTGGTATGGTCAGACTGTTCTGTTATCAACAGGAGCTTGGCCTCCCTAATGACATTTGAAAAACACAGCTATTGGTCACCAGGTGTTAGCTATGAATCAGGTATCCATTACTAGTACCCCTGGAAACACAAGATCTGTCCAAAAGTGTAAGACTAGAGGGGGAGGCTGCCAGCTAACTCCCAAACCGATTCTCTCCTCCTTCCTGGGCACATGCCTGCCCATTTCCTTTGCAGCTACCTATGGGTCGTCTGAAACTGACTACAAGCTGCTTCTTCTAGAGTTAGTTTCCAAACCCCCTGGCGAAGTGCACCCAGATGCAAGCGTATAGATAACAGTCAGGAGCCCAAGGGGCTTCTCGGCTCGCCCCAGCAGCCATACTGACGTGTGCTAAAGACAGAGAGGTCTGCTTTATGGAACTCCTTGAGCGCTCTTAACCTTTAGTCTCACCAGATGAACTCATACCAACAACAGGAGCCACTCCCCAAAAGCCCACCCCCTTTTTGAAACCTTCAAGTATTTTTTCTTAGGCTTGGGCGTTCATGGCCCTGCTCACACTGTCTTTTAGACTCTCCTTACTGAAAAGGAAGCAGACACACTTACTCTACCGCTTCCTTGTAGATTTCAATGGCCTTGTCCAAGTCTCCCTCCAGCAAGTGGATCTTCCCCAGCATGATGTAAGTCAGATCATGCCTGTGGAGCTGTAAAGCACTGTGCAATTGCTCTTGAGCCTAGCAAGGGTGATGGAGAAAAGAAAACCCAATTATTACCACTAAAACATAAAGGGCTGAGGGCAATGAATGTACAAATGCGCTTTACACAATTGATGTATGGATGGATTGTGATAAGAGTTGTATGAGCCCCTAATAAAATGATTAGAAAAAAAAAAAAAAGGATTTACAATCTCAGAAACCCCAGGAGCAGTTCAACTCTCCCATGTACAATACATAGGAGGCAGAACCAATTTGAGGGCAGTGGGCTGGTTTGGTAAGCAATGGGTAAACAGCTGTCTGTGTATGAATTGTTGGGTACAAAACTGATGATCTGTTTTGTAAACCTTCACTCAGTTCCCAAGTCTTTCAAATAAAGAAAGAAATGTTAAAAAAAACCCCAAAAAACATAAAGGGCATGGCTCTGGATGTCTAATATAGGGACAAAAGTCCTATTATACTCATGTCAGCAAGTCATGTCACCACATGTCAACAAGTACCCTCCTGCCCCCACTAACTGAAGAACCACAACCTATCAAAACTGTGCTTCTTGACGGGACACCTGGCAACACGGGGGGTTAGCCTCTGGAGCCACTTGGGAGGGTTTACACAAAGTTAACATTTCTGAGTGTTTTCTACTGCTTGATCTTCACATCAACGACTCAGACATCATAAATCACCGGAAGCACTGGAGTACAGTCTGGTGTGCTGCACGCCCCTCGATTCCAGCTGCACCACTGACAGCCGGGTACCCTCTGCAGAGAAGCATCGCTTTCCCCACGCACACGATCCCACTCAGAAAGCAGGGAGGAAACCACTGTGACTGCATGTGCTCTGGTTACTAGCGGTCAGGAACAATCTTGTTTTCTAGAGGCACTTAGATCCTGTCAGTAACGTAAAGCACTTCGTTTCAGTATGCACTGACTCAACCAGCAGTTATATAAATGTCAGGTCATGTTATTTGGCTTAGTCTGTTAGCTTTACATGAAGCCTGATTCTCCTTCTCATCGGGACAGGTTCAACCAAAGACCAATCCTGCCTTCCCCTAGGCTCACGGTAACTAACCTATGAATAGAAATCTACCTGCTCAGAATATTCTCTGAAGAGAAAAAGTTTCCAGTCAAACAGAAAAAGCAGTGAAACTATTTGTAGCTCTAGTCATAAAAATTAACAGACCCATAAAACATAAATACACAAACACATGTATGTAAGTATTTATAGATATACATATATACACACACGGGAACACATGTAAATACACACATATCTTATGGGAGAAAAAGTCACACTTAAATCCGAATGGCTGAAGGGCATTGTTTTGCCCACGCTCCAGAAGTACAGATTAGATTGTACCAGGCTTCAAAGTGACAAAAATTAAACAATGTCAAATGAACCTATTCAGAGCCTCAATGCTGTCAGCAACAGGGAAAGGAAAGAAAAATCTGACAATCACTAAGTGGGAACGTACATGCAGAGGACTCTGCCCAGACCCACTGGCCTTCCCTTACTTAGATAAAGCTCTCAAACATGCAGTCAAGTCTTCACTGAAGGGGACATGGCTTGTTCTTTCTCTGAGTGCCAAGGTTAGCCCAAACTGAATGCTCTGAAATAAGGGCGGGCCTTGAAGCCTACAGCTTTGTTGCATTGAAATATATAAGCCATCCTCATAAAATCGACCTTACACACTT